GCTTCCCGCTGCTTATAGGATTAGGGCCAGCTTCTGAGGGCCTCTAGATGAGGGCCTGTGTGAGGGTTCGTGCCAGCCTTGTTAGCCACTTTCCTATAGTCACTTTCTTTTGGGCCGGCCCCAATCAATGACACAGATAGGTTACCTGGGGCTTTGAAAGCAGGTCCTGGTTGCCGGGCGTGGTGGCGCCTGCCTTTAATTCCAGTACTTGGGAGGCAGAGGCAGGCACATCTCTGTGAGTTCAAGGCCAGACTGGTCTACATAGTGAGTTTCAGGACAGCTGGGGCTACAGGGAGACCCTGTCTCAAAAAGACCAAAAAAAGAAAAAGGAAAAAGAAAGCATGTCCTGGGAGAAACTCCAACCCCAGTCCTTGCTCCAGCCATCCCCTCCATCCAGAGGACTCCTCTTCCCTCCCATTCTGTGATCCTACCTGGGCTTCTAGGTGCCTTTCAAACATGCTTCCCCCCACCCCCACCCCCAGTGCTATGAATTGAACTTAGGGATTCATGCATACTAGGCAAGTCATCTACCACTGAGCTATATTCCTAGCCCAAGTATTCTCATTCCCAAGGAGCTTCTTCTGACCCACCCCCAGACTCTGCTCACTGCCTATTCAGCTGTCTGCTCTTTGACCTGTCCACATTCTATTGTATTTGAAATAGACCAAACCTGTTCTTCTTTCTGTAGAATCTCTGGAAAGAGGGGGTTCTGTTTTACTATTTGTACCCCTGTTATTTTACCCCACACAGTTGATGCTCTATAAATATTTGCTGGATTCAGTTGACAAATGGAGGCCCATTTTGGAGAAGTTAGTCTTTCTCCAGGAGAGGAGGGGAGCCCCTGGTGCTGAGCCCAGGTCTCCAGATCCCCCATACTCTGTTCTTAGGGTCCTCAATGCCTCAGTTTGTGTGAGAAGCATCAGTCACCTATGAACTGCCCATCTCACTGAACAGCTTTGAGGTGAAATCTAGGGAGGAAACAGCCTTGGAGCAGAGGTACCTAGAGGGATGAGGGAAACCCCTGGCCTGAGAACATGGGAGAGAGGGACATGGGTAGCCAGAGGATGCTAGCAAATGAAAATAGGCCTCCCTCCTCTGTGGCATTGGAAAAAAGACGGTGTGTGTGGGGGGGGTGTGCTTCAGAATCTAGTTTCTGCTTAATTCAGCCCACTCTGCTCATTCTGGGAAGAACTAACAGCTGGCTAGCCTCAGACAGACCCTGCAACCTGGGGCTGAGAGTTGCCAAGAAGAAGCACAGGTGAGCTGGGAACACACTGTTCCCACACTGGGAACACCTGCCCTTTCGCAAGGAATCGCTGGGAGGATTGAAAACCCCCATCTTTGTGCCTACCCCCAGCCAATGACATAAGAAAGAGACCCAAGACTGTGTACAAGTTAAAGTTCTCAGGAGAGTCTAGTACCAATGTTCACATCTTCCTGGGCGCCTGAGATAGTCTTTGTTCATAGCCCACAACATACTGGCCCATCTTGGAGGCAGCACTTTTTAGGCCAAGCTTGCCCTGAGCTCTGCCCAAACTTGTCCCCCCACCCTGTCCTCAATGTCTCCCGTGATGCCACAGGCCTGAGGGAACTGACAGGTACAGGGAGTGGTTTGCTGGTACTGGCTCATGCTGATGGTTTAGATTGGCTTCCAAAGAATGATTGCCTAATTTTCAGGAATATGTCCATTTTAAAAGCTAATATTAAAAATTAAGTTATTTAAAGTTGCAAATTAAACAAATCATTCACAAAACAAAGATAATAAATGCTCAAAAATTATCACTTGCTAATCATATTGTCTGTGCTCTCTAGTTCATGTCTGTTGCATCCTGAAGTGCAAACAGACATGACCCCCCCATCTATCAGGATCTTTCCAAGGCCCCCAGTGGATGCCGAAAGCCTCCAGTACCAGCTCTCTGTATTTATTTTCCTTCCATACACACAGTTACGATAAAGTTTAATTTATAAATTAGGCACAATAAGAGATTAGCAATAACTAATGATACAAGACTATTACAACAGCATACTGTAATAAAAGTTGTTTAAAACTTATGAATTATTGTGGCGCATGTTTTTAATCCCAGCACTTGGGAGGCAGAGGCAGGCGGATCTTTGTGAGTTCGAGGCCAGCCTGGTCTACATAGTGAGTTCCAGGACAGCTGGGGCTACATGGAGACCCTGTCTCAAAAAGAAAAAAACAACAACAAAAGAAAACAACCTTATGAATTATTTATCTCTGGAAGTTTCCATTCTTATTTTCAGACCAAGGTTGACCTTGGGTAACTGAAACTGCCAAAAGCAAAATAGTATGCTACTATATCTGCCTTTACAAACTTGTTTGGAGCCTACACATTGATGACCTGAAATTAACTACAGGGAAAGATTTCTGCCACAGATGCAGGTGAATGCTAGAATGCCAAATACTTTTCTCTGAGTGCTTGTTGATAGGCAAACTACCTGGAGGTAGGGAAAGGGAGAGAGAGAGAGAGAGAGAGAGAGAGAGAGAGAGAGAGAATGAGAGAATGACATGTATGTAGAGGTCAGAGAACAACTTGAGTTTGTTCTCGCCTTCTACCATATGGGTCCCGGATGTTGAACTTAGGTCATCAAGTACCTTTACCTGCTGAGCGATCTCACCTGCCCATGAAGACCTTTTTACAGAGGGGTTTGTAAAGGGCCTGGTACAGAGTGGACCTGGCACATACATGAGGGATTATAGTGATACTACTGAGCCCCAAAGACCTAGCTCCAGCCTACATCTAGCATCACCAGCATGGGCTCATGCAAGATCCCCATGACCTCAATGTTCACATCTAGAACAAGAAGAGAGTACACTGGGATCTGTGAGGTCCTTACCAACCTGAATATTCTCTGCCTGTGGCTAAAACTGCAAAGGGGGTGATTTGAGTGCATGAGAGACGGGCTGTGCTGTAAAATCTGTGATTGGTGTCTGAAAAGAACAGAAAAGCAATAATTACCCAAGCAAGGTGGGGAATCCTGAATTCTTTCCTTAAGTGACAAAATTGCCAGTAAGATGGTGTTCAGAAACACCAGATGTCTTGATTCATTCTTTGTTGATGAGGACCTTTTAAGAAAAACATATTTCTCTCCCAGAAAGATCTAGACAAGCAAGCAGCAGACCTGGGCTCAGCTGCTCAATCTACCCCAGGCCAGGCATGATGCTTTATGAACTACTTGTTATGATTATTTTTAAAGCAATCCCAAGATAGGAAGGGGCACTCAGGGGAACTGCAAACAAGTGGTGTGGTTAGGAGAGGCATGTGGGGATTGCTCCTGAAACCACAGCTCCTGCCCCTTCTAGAGTGAGGGAATTGTGGGGTGCAGTGGTGTGACCCAGGCATCAAAGAGCCAAGGAGTCAGACAGTAGAAAGGCTTCCAATAAAAGTCTGTGGATGCTTAAGAAAATAGAATATCAATGTATAAAATCAATACCTCTTGAAAGATGCCCAAAATATGTGTGTGTGGCGGGGGTTGGGGGGGTGCAGGGAGAAGAGCCAAAAACATTGCTAGCTGTCCCTGAAAGATGGATTTGAACTAAACCTTAAGTATTTACACCAAAACCATGCCTGGTAGCACAGGCTTATAATGCCAGTACTTGGGAGGCTGAGAGGCAGGAACATCAAAAATTCAAGGTCAGCCTGGACAGCTTAGCGAGAGGGTGTCTCGAAAAAAAGGTAAATTGATGAGATCCTTATATTTACAGACAAGCATACCATATACCACTCATCAAAGAAGCTTCTTTTTGCAACAGATGGTTGCATAACTGGTCAGATACAGAAAACATAGATGCTTCGTACTAGGACACATCTATCGTTGAACCTCTACAACTAAGGCTCATGGAACATAGTGGAACAAGGGGTAGAGAGAAAACTAATGCATCCTTCAACTCTCATTAGTAAAGCTTCCTTATACAACAAAATGCAATGCACACAGAAGGCCACAACTGACCAAGTTTTAAAGAATAAGAAGAGACTGCACAGTGTACAATAGGACTCCTATATGGAACCTCACCCACCCATAGCACAGGGACCACTGCGGATGAAGGAGGGGAAGATTGTAAGTCAGGGCTGTTTCATGGAAACAGGGAAGCAGAGGCTTTCAGATCACTGGAAGCTTGCACATGGGAACTTGTGACAATGGTGGCATTGAGCACAGAACCCATTCCAACTCAAACAAGGGCCCAAAGGGGAGGAGAAAAATGGGTGGTGGGTGGCACTAGACTGAGAGCTATTGGAGACTGATTGCTACTGGGTGAGGGAGAGTAATTTCTAGATGGACTGACTAGACTACAGTGGACGAATTTACACTGAAGGACATTTGAGTACAAATGTTTGACTGGATAGGACTTAACATGTATGGCAGAATACCTGTCCGATGGGAGTATAGGTGGGGCATGGATGGGGGAGGGGAGGGCCTAAATTTGATTAAGAACTGTTATATGAAAAGCTCAATTAAAAAAATACTTTAAAAAATTGCTAAATTGAAAAACTGAAGGTTGCTAGCCAGCGCACCAAGTCTCAGTTCCTTCTTCAACCCACAAATGCTGATGTCACCAGGAAGCCCAGCACTCCTGGCTCCTCACATTCCCTCTCGGTGATCCAGGCTACTACTGCCTGGCAGCTCCAAAACCATGCTTCCTTATCTCCTCCTTCCTCATCCTGGCCCAACCATAGTAGACCGCGTTATCTTGGGCCCCCATCCAAAGTAGACCGCGCTATCTTGGGCTAGCCGTCAACTTCTTACGGAGAAGAATCTGGAGATCCCGATCACCTGCACCTGCCCCACTGCCTGTTGTGATAGCAGAAAAACCTAGCAAGGCCACCAAAGCGGAGGGAGAGGGGGAAACTGGCGAGGGGGAGGAGCTGTTGGACTCCCCAAAGGCGGGAGGGAGGAGTTTCCACGTCTGGGTGGGAGGATAAAACTGAAAGGGGAGGGCCTCTGACCTGCAGCTTCAGGTGTGCCAGGGTTCACAGGCTTACCCGGGCATGAGGGCGGGGGGCACGAAGGTGGCATTGAACTCGGTCAGTAGGGTGCCCGCGCTACGGGAGACCATGGTGGGTGCTGCGATCCCCGGCGCTGCAGCTCGACTCAGCCCCGAGGTAAACAGCTCACCCCGCAGGTCACCAGGCAACCGCAAGCCTGGCAACGCGAGTTCTGGGACGCTGGAGCACTCTGCGCCAGGGGAAGACGCCTCCCCATCCCATCCCACAAACTTTACTGTGTGACTCCCGCCAAGTCGCCCTAGCACCAAAGTCTAGCCCTTCACGTCCACTGGGGGACTGGCAGAGCGGAGGTGGAGCTGAATCTATCCTAAATGTCCGACGCCCCATGGAGAGTCCTGGCACCGGGCTTGCAGCTCTAAAACCTGGCCTGGCCTAGCTCTGGAGGGCTCGCAGGCCCAGGATCACAGGGATGCCCAGAGTCCTTTCTCTCTAAGGTTGCCCATGGTTCTCCCTGCTGTGGAGCTCTGGGAAATGGCTTCGTGGTGGGCTTCACTGGGCATGGATTCCTAGCCCTGTAGTTATGTGTGTACCTATTGGGAAGAGGGGCATTTTTCTTATTAATCTCTCCTCTCTCCCCTTGAACTTCCTTTTTCCTTCATCTGGTTTCTCAAGCAGCTCCACAGTCATTTAGTAAGGGCCAGCTAAGCAGAGCTTGGTGACTCACGCCTTGCAGTCGCAACTTCTCTGGAAGCTGAGGCAGGAGAACTGCAAAACTGAGAACAACCTGGGCAGCTTGGTGAGATACCGCCAAGAAGCGGCAGATACGGAGGTGGGGG